ATAATATTATCCTGAGTGGTCCCACAACAGGGGAGATAATATAGTTTCTGAGTGGCCCCAGCAAGGGAAATAATATTATCCCCGAGTTGTTCCAATAACAGAGATAGTAATACGTAGTTATGTAGTGATTTTTTCAAAATGTTCGTAATGTTGGTTTAAATTGTGCTATTTTGATTATTATTGCATTTTCTGCTGGTGAAGTGAAATACTAGTATTCATGGTCATAATATTCCATGTTGCTAGAAAGTACTGTTTTTTTAAAAACATTTTCGAAATTGTATCACACCAATAAACGGCAACAATGACAGGTATCTCATAAGATACAGAGTGGATGGGATGATGGCCGTAACCAACAATGCATAACGTAATCAAGCACGGAATGTCGTTCCCTCCACACTGCGGGCGTTACTCTTAACATGCCCACGAGCTTGATTGGCTTGAGTTGAGGAGATGAGCCTCTAACCAGTTAAAATTTTTATTCATAGTTGCGCCCTCAGTCGTTCATTCATACACACTGGATCACTGGATTCACACTATAGCTAAGAGGGCGCAAGAGATGCGGCTCCGTTGTATTAGGGATCAATAGTCAGTTAGACGAGTAACGTTGTGAGCTAGTTATGTCTAGGTGTGAAACAGATCACAAATATTCACCGGACATGGAATTGATTTTTTGCTCAAGATAAATCAGAATTGGTCACATGCTTTATTTGTAGATATGTTTTCATGAATAGAATGTTTCTTTGATGGACATAGACAGGGCAAGACATCACAAAATTCGATTTTTGTTCCAGAGAAGACATACATTTTCATATGCTGGCAATTGAGTATAGCACCCTGTTTTAATACTCAGTAAATGGTTACTTATATAGACGAAACTTAATTGCCAATATTTTATACAAGTACACATAGTTGAAAATATTTCGATACTTGAAAATAAAATAAAGAACACTTTTAGGAAATTAAAGACAGAAAAATCACCTGGACTTGATGGTATCGCAGCAGAACTACTTATTATATACAGCAGTTCAAATCTTGTCAAAGCACTTCGAAAACTCTACAATTACAAGCCTGTTTCATGTATTCTTCTGTATTTTTTATTCCTTGGACTAAATGAAGATAATTTAATGGCTACAGATCTATGTCAAAAGTTTGGTGAAAAGTTATGAAAAAACTGTGGGTTTATTTTTGACTTTTAAAGTTGACTTTGACACACAAAGGGTTAAATCTAGGAAACAAGTTGTACCACTGGAACTATATTTACAGGAAATATAAATTAAAGAATAACGAAGTATCGTGACGATAATAACATCATTCACAACAACCAAACAGAATTTAGAAGTAAACACAGTGAGGATCACTGATCACATTTAATTCTGCACATCGTTGTAAAAAGTACAAATCAATAAATATGAACTCGTGTATGTATATAAAGTACAATAATGTTAAAAGAAACTTATAAAATTACGTATGAAAACATCAACTTCCATATAACTCGTTAATACAAACTAACACCCGCATTCCAGACGAACAACAATGTAAAAAACGATGTTCAGAATATTCATCAATGATCTTGTCGATGTATAACACAAAGAAATCAAGTTTCCTATTTGTAGATAATATCATAACCTCATGTACATACAAACAAGCTTTTCAATCATTACTCCACGCACTGCATGAACACCCCATAAACTTGGTCTAGAGATGTACACAGCGAAATATGACTATAGAATGAGTACACTTATTTGTGTGTAACATTCAATACTAATGGCTTCTTACACTGAACCATAGGGACTTGTAGATAAGACAAGGACAACACTCAATTTCAAGCGTCTATAATGGTATAACAATAACATAACAATGGAATACAAGTTATTTGATACTATTCAATCCTCTTTTATGTATCTGAGTAACTACCAATCTAATGTAGTAGGACAAAACAGATACAGAAAAAAAGCATATTTCAAACATAAACAAACAATGGAATAAATACAATTGGATGCAGCCCTGAGGCTCCCATATAAGTTTAAATTACCATGCAACAATAGAACTTTAACAGAATTGTTATATTGGCTCATGGTTAGAAAGGTATACAGAATACAGGAACATTGATCTCATGGGAAAATATATTAAACTATTCAAATGAACACTAAAAAGGCATATGGATGGCTGATATCAAAAGAAAGGATTCGGAATTGTGAAAAAAAGGTCTTTTGAAAAATGACAGTAAAATTTCATTATACCTAAATGTTTTACACAACAGGTATGATATGAAACTGTTTTCGCAACTCAAGTTGAACAGCCACAGCCTGCAAATTGAACTTGGTCGTCACTATAAGCCAAAAACACAAATTAGAGAAAACCTTGAATTGTAACAAACAAACAATACATTGTAACAAACTAGAAGATGAAATGCACTTTAATTAGAATTTGAAAAAAAAACCTCAAAAACTTCAATAATCGATAATATTTTTATTTTTAGACTGTATATTATTTCATTTGTAAACTTTATATTATATCATTTATATTATTGTATGTCATTGTATTATTCATCACTATGTTCTGACATACTTAATTATCGTGTAATAAAATATTTTGTTATTTTATTCATGGCGTAATTAAACATATTATTATTAAAAAGAAAATTGAAGAATATAAGATGCTGTTGCATCTTTGGGGAGATTTTTTTCTGGTTGTGAGCATTTTGATTCCGAGCAAGAATAGGGTCCTTGAATATGGCACGCGCATGCGCATTAGAATCTGGGGTTATAACGCACAAATGATGTCGGTGACAGAAGAAACAACGACCGAAGAGCTCCTAGAGGTTCTGAGAAAACATGGCACACCAGAAATAATTGTAACTAAACTCAAAGGTATGTGAATGTTATTCGTCTACAGTGTATAATGGTAATTTAGTTGATAGAGTCCAGAGTTGCGTCAGCGATGCGTTTCCTCGGCTCTTTCATTCATCAACATAAACTGCAATGAACTCAATCAAGTACAGACGCCCGTAGATATTACTTAGGGTCCGAATTATAGATCTCCATTAGATTAGTATGTCAGAATACACGTCAGCATCAGACTGACCTCGGAGATTCACCGACTTTACCGTATATACCGACAGACCCCGCGACAGATGAAGTCGAACTGCACCCAAAAAAACCGAAATCACAGCTCTCAAATAAAAATAATGATGTGGTTTTGCGTCGTTTTGGACACCAACTATGGGTCTCCACTAGGCTTAGTCTGTCAGAATACACGACAGCATTAGACTGACCCAGAGGTTCAGAGACAAAAACAAATAACACATAATGAGAAACTATTGAAAAAGAAAATATCTATTACAGAAATAAAACCCTTATTTAATTTTGTATATTGTTTTTTTTTTAATATTTGACCGATACAGTACTACAATTATATATTGTTTTAAATTTGTTTAGTCTTTCTTCTTTCTGTTTTGTTGTAATATCTGCACCTTCTTTAAATAAGAATTTCCTTCCCTCATTATATAATTCAAAATCTATGATGAAGTGAATTTTATTGCATTTTTTACAAATAAAGTCTATTCTTTTTTTTCTATGAGTGGTTTTCTTCTTCTACCTATTTTGATTTCCAAATTATGGTCACTGATTATAAACTTTGTTACAATTCTTCTCTTGTTGTAGTTGTAGTTTCATTTAGGTAATTTTCATTCCATTGAGTAATTGGTGTGTTCTTAATTTGTTTAACTGCTTTGAATACACAAGAAAAAAATTATTTGTCATGTAAGTTGCACTCAATAATTAAAATGATACGAATGTCATATCATGCATTCACACATACACATACACATCAAATGCAAACGCTATTGCTTTGCAAATGATTTCCAGTGTTTTCCCCTTTCAAGCTGTGAAGGGGGCCTTTGTGTAGTACCTTTACACTGGTCTAACGGGTTCACACTTTTTTTTTAAGCTGGTTGTAAATATTACATAATACAGGTGGTTACACTGGTGCTAATATCCCATAATATCTTCTGTACAGTCTGACAAGGTCGCGTGAGTTGCGCCCTCAATAGTGTTCCAAACCCAACATACGCCTGACAGAACGATGTAGTTTTTCACTTCCCCTGACAATTTTTTGTCGGTACCAATTAAATTGCAGGAACATCAGATAGTGACAGCCATCAAAGAGTAACCAACCATGGCAAAATTTATTTCCACCCAATGTTTATCATCTTGTTCAAAACAGTCTGTGATTTTTGCTGACAATACAAACACGGCTTTGTGTTACTATGACCACAAAACTCATTGCAAGAAATTGTGAACTTTGCGAAATTCGCAGTATTGATCTTGTTGACCAGACATACACTACTGTAAAAGGGTTAATTATTCACTGGGTTTTAATTTTGCTGATTTCGCTGACTGGAAAATGCACTAAATTACCCAGTGAATATGTAAAATTGCCTGAAATGCTAAATCAGTGAAATTTAAACCCAGTGAAAATTAGTCATTTTACAGTATTCTGTCAGGCGTTAGTGAGGTCTAATGCTGTTTGGCCGGCGAGGGCGCCACTCACACCTACATGTCAGGCTAATGTGAACATGACACTTGGGTGATTCATTTGAACGTTTGTTGTTTTATTAAAGATATTTGTTTTTTCATTGTCTAATTTAAGATTTTTTTCTCTAAATTTACCCCTTTTCGGCACCTTGTCAGTGATGAGACAGAATTCATGTTGTGATTCACCAGGCCATTCTTGGGTGTTCTTAGAATTGCTGGATTTCAGGATCATGATGCACTTAATATTTTGTATTTTAATACAGATGAATTTATTGATGGTGAGAGTTTCTTGGATTTGTGTAATAACTTGATGTATATGCAAATGATACCGCAGTATGGTTTACAATTCAAATTCAGGAAGATATATCTAAAAATAACAGGAACAAACTTGATGGTAAGTATTACATAGCCCTTTCTCAAATACCTCAGTTAATGCATTGTAAAGCCCCTCCCCTCTAGATAAACCCTACATCAGGTTATGTACATTTAACCCTCTCATTGTCAGATTAATATCTCATCCAAAATTCAGTGCAAATAATTTCAAATAATTTTGTATTGGCCCATACAAACAGGCTGCATGTAGTTATTTATCAATTTTAGTCAATTTTGTCAATGTAGAGCAGACTGTAAAAGCTTTTTGTAGACAGTGCCAGAAGTTGACACAATCGTAACAATATGCTAGAAAAAAGGGAAGCCCTGTATTTCTCGTGATTTTGCATGGATTAAAAAAAGGAAATCATCTGAATGAAGTATCAGTATACAATTTAATTTAAGGTAGAAATATACTCAGAATATTTGTACTTTCTATATGTAGATACTGAAATGAAATAAAATATCTGAATTCAAATTTTTGCATAATATATTTTAAGTGAGTCAATATAAACTAAAACTCAATTAGTGATTTCTAATTTTTTACCAAGTTGGTCATAAATCACATGAAATTCATTGATTTATTATGTACAATAGAAGAGTGTCAAATTCCTGCGAGTGTTGCCAAGTGAATGCGTGCGCTCACAACAGAAATGAGGTTCAATTTTACAACCGGTCATTCATTTTTCTGTTTCATAATTTGAATATATTTGAAAGCATGTACAGACATCATGGGAATATAAATGTTGTTTAATCTTTCATTTTGGATGTAAAACACATATTTTATGAAAAGTTTGTGTCATAGGTTTGATGGATACAATACAGAATCAATATACGTGATCGAAAACTGAAGCTAGTACAGTAAATAACTGCCTAAAACTGTATTTCTGCTGACTGGAAGTAAATCCATGTCAACCCCCCTTGCACACATGGTAGCTTAGCAACCAGGGAACTTCGGGAACCCCAGACGTGTCAATTATAGAATTATATTTTCATGGTATTATGAATTCTTTTTTCTGTTTCCAAATCGTATTTTGAGAATATTCATCAAATAATTTTTTTTGTTAAAGCATTATTTCATTTTTTGGCACTTTTAAAACTTGGGTTTAAGAACAACACAAAATTCCCTGTCAGTCATATCATTAGCCTACCTTTTGAGAAATGGCATAACATCTCCACTATCAGAACCACTTGTGGAAAATGGCCACCAATTACTGAATTTAACCCACAATTTCGCAAAAAATAGGTTGGTTAGTAAATAATCTTACATGTATATTGACTAGGAGTACAATTTATTGCAAACTAAATACATATTATGTATCCATAATTTTGTAAGTGAAATAGTTGATATAACATTTTTTACATACTTACTCCAATGTATTATCCTAATTTATATTAATTAATGCAATGTAACACTACAAGTACTTTCTTTCTTCGTAGCTCCCTCCAATGTTTTTTGGATTGCCGGGTACTACAGTGCAAGTCAGCAATGCTACAACTGTTGGGCCTGCCCCGTCTGTATCAACTGCTACAAAAGACCCTGCGTCTGTGGAAGTATCAGTAGACAAGAATACAGATAGCACTCTCTCACATATGAAGTCTAAAACTATTGGACAACGAGAGCTAGTACCGAATCCTGCACCATTACCAATATTCAGTCCATTAGTGCAGCAACGACTTGATGCTGGTATGATAGACTTAACTCTTGACAGAAAAATTATTCTGTTAATCTTTTTTGAAATATTAAACTCATGTGACTTCTTTCAGCAGTCACCCTGCCATGCTTCAATTACCTCTTTAAGGGAAGTGTGGATATTTGAATACTTTCAAATTTGACCCATATGATACATGTTGCTGTTCTCAGTATGGGTCCCACATCGAAAGCCTTGCTCTTTAAATTTTTCTACAAAGCGCCATGGGCACAATTATGCAGTTGTGGCTATTCATATTCAGGGTGCTGACTGGCTGTCTAATTAAACTGTTAAGGAAAAGCCTGCTTATAAACTAATAACAAACAAAAAATCAATGAGTTTTCAATCTCAGTGAAATGTACAGGTTTACTGGATCTCTCATCAGAGGTACAGACGTCAGTTAGATTTCAATGTAGTCTCTCCTGACTTAATTTTATATTAAGATTGCCAGTGTGAGTGCTGAGATATATAGTGCATTTTTTCACGGACATCAAATTTCAGTTTGGGACTACATGACAGGGATGTGTAACCATCTTCCTATTATAATGGTATCATGGCAATTTAATGTGATAACCTGGCGTTTAGCCATGCCCGATCGAACAGAAGCACCTGCAGACCTTAACTAACGTTTTCCTAAGGTTGTATTTCTTAGTAAATGGATCTCGGCCATCGGCTTCAGCCTTCCCATTGAATCTGTGGAACACTCACTCAGGGCAGGGGTCAACTATTTAATGTTCAACTCGAGGTACGATTTGAATTCTGGATTTGGGTTTAACTGAGGTATTAGTACATATGTACTATCAGCAACTTCTATCCCACCATGTCATGATGCAGTTACACTATTTTGTTTTTCATTCATAATTTAACTAAACAATTTGTATGTATGTAGTTACTGGTTCAGTGCATTCCATGTGGCATAAATTCATTGCTGAATTGGCTGAGTTTTACGTATGCCAAGGATATTATTTAAGAACCCAAGTTGAATACAAGAATATTGGTCAGACATTACAAGCAAAATACAGTTTCATTTCAGAAGGGACACCTTTGGTGAGTTGCAATATTTGTTTTTCATTTTTACTTGTTAACAGCATTAAAGCGCGGTAGTCATCGCGCGTGTGCGAGATATATGGGTTTCATATAAACAAAGATGGCGACTTTGACTGTTGCGCAGACCAACGAGTACGAACTGAGACGTTTCCAAGCTTCAATTAAGTAATTTTCATGTGATTGGAAGGCATCGAAGGTGTCACCGGCGGTAATCAGTACATGTTGCGCCCAGGTCAAACCTCATACTTGTGATTTCCATTTGAAGAGCACATTGGATTGTGGGAAAATCAATGTTTATCAACACAAATGTGGCACATGTGCAGCGCGACAACTACCGTTTGAGTTGTCAATCTCTTGTTTTCTCAATATGTACCCTATATTAAAGTGAGAGGGTCGTCACCTGCGCACGCGAGGGAATTGAGTTCCAGGCGATGATAATAACACACGCTAAAAATTCAAAGGATCATGGGTAGATGTTTGTTTGTAAACAATGACACACTATGGCCATCCGACGCATGCGGATGTGATGACTCCCTCACTTTAACATCTTTATATTATAATGGGTTTTATAAACCTTGATTGATTCAGTGATTTGAAAGTTACCCCATTTTAAGCCTACAGAAATATTTTTTCAAAATGAGTTTGTGTTTCTAGTACATTGAGTAAAATTTCATGTAACCTCGTACAAATTTCTAATTATTTAATGATCTTGAGACACTCATAGTAAAACTGTCAGTAACTGAGCTCTCAACATTATTAATTGATGATTTAATCTTTGCCTTGTCACCCCAATGAAATTTTCACTACAATATTATTTTAAATTTTTACTGAATCAAGTAATTTATAAAAAATGTTCACTTAATTTTGCATTAAAATCACACATTTTTCATGTTCAAGTTTTGTATTTATTGATTTCTTGTAGTTCATTGATCGCTATAAATTACTGCTTTTAAATAATGCTTGCACGACATTTTTGTGTCACACATTTTAACTATTGCTACAAGTACAGCTATCTAAACTAAAAATTACTCTGGGAAACTTAGCCTTCGAAATGATCTGCTAACAAATGAAATTACCTTGAAGCTATTTCTCATTGTAATATATTTGTCTCGTTTCTCTTTTTCAGACATATTTCACCAAAAGCTTATCAGCAAAAGTGCGGAATCTGAGGATGCATCTGAAGAAAAAGGATGGTGATTCATCTTCTTGCAATAGAACAGTTGCAACACCAAACAAAAAGCCAAAAGTTGAAAGTACACCAATGCCAAACCAGCACGAACCAACAAGGGAGACATACAATGAGAATCTGGTAGAAACACAAATATAATCTTTTGTCGAAAAAGTATTCACTTGTTTCTGGATAGATGTTTGTGAACATTATAAACTTCTTCAACAGCCAAAATTTATTAATTTGCCATTATACCTTGGCAGAATTCCAAATACATGTATAAAACTATATTCAATATCAACATAATCAAACACACGCTGTGTGTTCTTGTGCATTTCCATGGTAAATGTAATAGGAAGCCGCGTGTTGTAACGCGTTTCTGTGGAAGTTGCATGTTTTTATCAGTTTAGGTGGCTTCAGTGAAATCTTGCAAGTTGGGTAATGACCATAATAGGACATTTGTTTTGGTGAACTGCTATTAACATAATTATCGCATGTATAGTCCGTGTTATCAGTACAGTATGATGTTATTTCGGGAAATGCACTTTCCTCAAATAACATACTTGACATTAAAGCCGTAATATTAATATGGGCAGAGCTAATTTTTCTTCTTTTTGTGATTTTCCGTATCAATGTATCCCTTCTCACCTTTGATGCGGAGAAATACAGCTGCTATATGGGAGTCACTCACCTACAAAGACATCACACTCATTCAGAACACAAGGGGGGGGGGGGTTTATACATAAATATATTCAATCTTACATCACATATCATCATGTGTTTGTACACCTGGTATCAATGTTTTAAGAATATAAAAAAAAAAAAAAAAAAAAAAAAAAAAAAAAAAAAAAAAAAATCGGTGAAAACACCCCATAAGGCAGTTGATTGTTTTTAAAATTATGAATCGTGTGATCTTATTACTTTTCAAATCAATGAGGAAATGAAATTGCTGATCAGAGCAGAAGATTTTGCTAACATGGGAAACAATTTTGACCAGACTATTTCTCGTTTTTCTGACACTAATGAGGTGTCTGAAGTTTGCCATGTACGTACTAAGAATTGGTATATAGATCATGTTTTCCTGGTATGAATTAGCTAACTGAGATTTCAATGCGAGTACCATACACTATTATAACTCTTTTTATTCAAATACTTGGGTGATATCAATAGATGAAAAGTCAAAATATCCCTTGTTGATGATTCAAATGAGTACTATTAAGAAATTTGAATGTTTTATGAATATTCAGAAAAAATTGGGCAAGAAATTTCTATTACATTTCAACTTTTGTGTGAACAGTGGCAAGGCTGTAATTGTTTCACTATGTTTCCTTTTAGCCCTCAAAAAATGACAGTGATACTTATTTACATATAGAGACAACAGTTGACAAAGAAAAGGGCACAAACATTGGACAATTACCAAGGTTAGTGAATTCATATCATCAGTTTTATGTACCATATTTGCTCTATTAGTAGGATATGCGCTTACATAAATGACTGAGGTGTATCTATATGTGCACTTCAGCAGAGCTATACCTTTAAAGGGCAGGAATGGGAATATGTGCAATAATGTGCGTAACGTAGTTGAGTCTATTATATAACTAAACATCCGAGTTCGAATTTGAGTCTAACTTCTAATAAATCCCAATTAGAGGTTTTAGAACTTAAAATTATCACACAATAATGTAGATCTCTATTCGTAAGTAAATTTATTTCAACAAAAATTTGTTTAATTCTGATGGCAGTTATTTAAAACAACAATAATGAATCCCCCACAGTGTCATATTGCATTTGAATAAGTACCAAGACATTATCTTGGCAAAAACCATACTTGTACAATATGTTGCTGTGGGGGATTCATTATTGTTGAAATAATAGTCAGTTATAAAAACTAATGTTAGGTTTGTTATTTAAACGATACATACATATGTAGGCAAAAATTGGATATTGCTGATTTACATGCAGTTTTGTTCTTGCTTTTCATCCTAAGCACTGCCCGATCATGGACAACACCTGGTACTAATCAACCAATAGGAACAAGCTTTTGCAGTGCATGGCATAATAATAAATAATACTGGGAGGGGGGGGGACACTAAATAATGCATCCTTGTATGCCAATGAACCAATCACTTTATGTCAGTTGTAAAATTGAATAACAATGTATATGTGTTAATTTTTGTTTATTTTTGTATAATTTCTGTTTACAAGAATATTATGTAGTTATTAACTGATTCCAATATGATTGTTTTTGTTCACAGGAAAAGGCGATAGAATAAGCAAGCCCAATCTATTAACATGTATTTGTATCATGAAGGCAAGACAAATAACATCTCTTATCTGGAACCTCTCAACTGAGTCACTAAAAATGTCATCTGTGATATTGAGAGTTCTTCGTGTGGACTTACTTACCTATGTTGGTCAAACTGGTATTACCCTTCGTTCTTGAATGAATAGTCATCGACATGCAATTAAACTTTAACGTTTACAACCATTTTAGATGTTGCCTGGTGGTGCCGTTTTTTTCTCCTTCATTCTGGTTATCCATGGAAACTTTTATTACATCATTCTTTGCTTCCTATGCGTGTCCACATTCTTTTTGTAGAATCAAAGACTAGACCATTATACTGTTCAAAGTGGTGATCTTCATGTATCAAACTCGGGGTTGATATAGAAGAAACCTGAATATTTTAGTGACATTTGATGAACATTAACTACAATTACTTGTCATTTGCAATCATTTCATACTTTTGAAATAGGACCAGGATTGCTTTCTACATCACCACTTAGCAACAGAATCAATCTCATATTGTATAAATAAAGTTACATATTCCACACAGAAAAAAGATATGTGATTTATTTAGAAACACAAAGACCAATACATATTTATTTTTGTATACATAATTTTCGATAGATCCCCCATATTCTAATTCCAAGGTTATTGGAGGAGAGCCAGACATGGCGGGTACAACCTGAGGCGGCCCCGCAAAGTCATCCCTTCGTAATGCCTCCCTGAGCCACGTCGTGGGGATGTTGCGCGATATCATCGAGCCTAGTGACAAGATGTACATACCCACCACCCTCGATCCTGAAGCAGTCCCAAAGATCCCGACCCCGGTACCACAAACTTCTGTTTGGCAGGACGAGTGAAGGGGGATGGCCACGTTCCACGGCAGCTCAATCTGAGACCATCATGCCCTAAGTGCAGAGTTACGACCCATTAACTTTTTGGAGTATGTGGCCGGCACGCTGGAACGCATAATTATGTGTGTCCAGGATTCTGAGACCTCAGAGGCAGAATGCACCAGCCTCCTAAACCAGGCGACACAGCTATTAGTAGGACATCGCACGGATATTTGTGATATCCTCCAGTGTTATCTGGCTCCCTTGGCAGGGGCTACTTTGGTACAGCGGGATGCTGTCTTGGCGGCTTGTGTTTTAGCCGGCTGAGTCAGGGGGTACGCTACCACCTCAGTTATGCAGACTGGACCTCTTCCATGCTCTTTGATAGGGAGATTGTGGGTGCAGTCTCAAAGCTTCGGGAGGCCACCTATCAAATAGTTCAGGTCAAGTCCACTTGTCAGTTGGTTGCTGCCAAGGGCAAGCGGAAAGGGTCCCAAGCGCAGAAAACACAACAACCAAAGGCGGTACCCACTGGCCAGAGGCAAGGAGATAAGTGCCCCCATCTTTCCAGGGAGGTAAGAGGAGTGGCACGCCCCCTCTGCCAGGAAGAAGAGATCAAGTGGTGGGTCCACCTATTTCTTGGGTGGTCGCCCAACTCCGTTGCAGGGGAAGCAAGTTTGACACTTACCTTTGTGAAAGAGGGATGGGGGGAGGCAGAGTCTGAGCTTTTTGACTGCTACAAGCCTTGTGGGGATTCACCTCGGCGGAGGAGAGATCACCCCCAATATATAACCGCCTAACCCATGGCCACATATTTCTGTCGCAGACAGATTGTGTCGGTGTATTCCGGTTTAGAGGCAGCGGGTAACCGATCCCTACACTCTTCAGGCAGTGATACATGATTACAAGATACCTCTGCGATCTCCACCCCCTGTCAATAGCACCCCTGCTGGGAGCACTGCCAGGGGATCCTCGCAAGGTGGAAGCAATCCGACAGGAGGTTGACAGTTTGCTTGCAAAGGGCGCCATACACAGGATAGAGGATCTGGCGATAAGTCCGGGCTTCTACTCCAAAGGTTACAGGTGGCTGGCATCCAGTTCTGGACATAAGCAGACTAAATCAGTATGTGCTTCTCGATCTGTTTCACAAGGAGACACTAAGCGCAGTTTTACTCTCCATGCACCGTTTTGACTGATTAGCCCTGTGATGCCTACCTGCACATAGTGATGCACCCAGCGAATTCAAGGTTCTCTCCTTCAGGTTATGCGCATCCCCATGGTGTTCGACAGTGTTGAAACAGGTGGGTGTCAGTACACATCAACCCGTACCTACACAATCCAAACAAGGGGTTGTTGGCCGAGCTAAGGCAGGATTTAAGTACACCAGTACAGGATTTACTACACCAGTTGGGCTTCCTAGTAAATCAAGAAAAGTCCCATCCTCAACAAACACACCAGTTCAACATGGAGGCAGGCTTAGTAGCAGGGGCAGGGTAGTTCCCCAAGCCACGTTATGCAGCCGCCTGGTTCAGCACACTTTGTTGCAGCAACGGGCCAACTTAGCACTGATATGCTTTCGACCCATAGTTTAAGGACAGAGTCTTGCTTCACATGGACAATAGGGTGGTGGTCTCGTATAATAACAAGGAAGGGGGACCAGATCCCCATCGCTGTCAGTCCTGGCGAAGCAAATTCTCTTTTGGTGCCAGGAATACAATGTGGAGCTAACTGCACAACACCTTCCAGTGGTACAAAACAGTCAAGCAGACGCCCTCTAGCGAGGACTCAGTCTCCAGACTGTGGAGTGGCAGATACCCCAATGGGTAGACCCCAGACTGTCTTGGGCCGTGGATGCTTTATCGATCCCATAGATTCCGGACTCACCTGTCCTCCTGTTCCAACCGGACGGTGCACTACCAATGAGCCCAGCGGTGTACCACTTACACACATGGAAGCTCTCAGTAGACCTTCACAGATGGAAGGTTTGTCTGAGCGGGCCGCCAATGTCAGGCCAGGGCGAATAAGGATTCCACCAATGCAGCCTACGACTCATAATGGCGAGCGTATGTTGATTGGTGTAGTGGAAGGGAGATTGATCCATGCCATCCCTCTGTTGGCCAGGTAGCTAACTTTTTCGTCCATCTGTTTGACGAACTGAGCTTGTCCTATGCGGTCCTATAGGTCACCCACCCTTGAGAAATCAGCACAACTGAAATATTTGACGCGGAAAACAGTCTTCCTACTAACTCTCCCCTCTGGTAGGCATCGTTCTGAGCTAGGGGCCTTGTTCTTCTCGGACGAGTGCACTGCCTTTATGGACAATCAAGCCGTTGTAAAGACATGAATCATGTTTCTCACCAAGAATCAAATCCCAGGACACAATCCCCGCCAATTGTCATCCCCCGTCTGGCCAACATTGTCGACCCGGAGGATCAAGAGGAGTTGCTACTTTGCCCAGTTTGAGCACTGATTTACTACGAGAACCATACTAGGGAGTTGAGGCATGGCAACAAGCACATGTTTATCTGTTACTGCCAGGGTAAGCAGGACAGACCAGTCTCTCGACTTCCATTTCCAGATGGATCACTGTGACCCTGTTTGAGGTTTACAACCGTCTGGCATCCTTGACATAGAGTCTACAAAGACAAAGTACAAGCGCACGAGTTCTATGCGATTGCTAACTCATTGGCTCTTGCGTCAGGTTTCCCCCCTCAGCATGTACTGAGGGCAGGCTTCTGGAGAATGCAAAACGTCTTTATCAACTACTACCCAAGAGATACCCAATCCATTGTGGAGGGTCTTTTTAGGGTGGGTCCTGTCATAGCAGGTCAGACTTTAGTTACAGATGCAGCCCGGACAACCACAGGGATCTTTGCGCATAGACGATAAAATAATTGCGCTAGCACATTTTTTGCAGAGAGATTTCTCCTGTTAGTGTTCCTTGGACGTTTCCTGGTCTCGCTTTCGGCCTATGCCCTCATGCAGAACCGTTTTGGTTTTTTTGAAGGTTAGTTAGCCCAGAATTTGGGTTTGGGTCTAGCGTTCTCTGGCATACCGAACCCCGTCACCATTTCAGCATTTTCTTTTGTTATGAGAACGGCACTGGCAAGGTAAGAAACCGTTTATTCACTGGTCTTAACTAGGTGGTAGTCGTAAGTAGAGAGTATTTTCCCGGACTGGTACACCTTTTATTGTTTTTCAGTTTGCTTGGAAACCCAACACCTATTGGCATCTGACAGTTCAAAATTGTCATTTTGACTGACCGGGGGGTTTTCAACCCGCCTATTCACATACCCACCATAGATTCCGGACCCCTCCCGACCACCCCACTTTCCATAGTGATTGACTTAGTCCTCAGTTACCTAGAAAACCAGAAGTGATCAAGATGGTGTTGCCCTCATTGCCTCGGTCACGTGGTTCGTGACTAGGAAGAAAAGTTATGAGGTCATGGGGCTTTCCCTGACCTAGATTTCTCCCTCCGTCATTGGCTGAATCGCAGATTAATGTCTACAGTTCAAAATATTCATTTGGAATATGTCATTCTGATTGGTCAAGAGTGTGTTTTGATTATGCAAGTCTTGGTTAAATAGATGAGATACCATGTTTGAAAGTAGACCCAAATCATGAATAACACACAGAATTGTTAAAATCCTTCTGTTTAAGGAAATCTGCAAAAATAACATTTTGCATAGTGAGTAATGAAAATACGATCCTAGGGTATTTTGGGTCTGAAAGAGAAGCCCTGGAATTTTTTCAGAATTGTGCAAATGGCCAATTAGTTTCTGTATATTTTTAAATTATGTTGATAGCGATGATGTTGCATACATAGCAGAAACTACACTAATAAGCTTCGCAACACCTGAAGTGCAAATTTGATCCACTTCTCAGAGTATGTAGAATAGACACCTGTTAGTCCCTGGGTCTATTGGTTGGTTGCAAGTATGTATACTAAGTTTCAGATACTGTTTCACATTTGACTCCTGTGTGCGAAGCACACAATGATTTTCTTTGCAGTTAGCCTGTCAGTATGTGTGTGTGTGTCCCACTGAAGAACCGTATGTTGATTTTAACGAAACTTGGTACATAGATTCTCTGGGCTAATGCGCAGATTTGATTAGGTTTTGGTTAAAATACATACATATTAATTACCTAATTTGCATGATAATTAGCTAATGTTTAGCCATTTGATGACTGTTCCACAGATTCCTAAACAGCCACTCACTGGATTTTGATGAAACTTGGTACATGCATGCTCTGGACTAATGCATAGATTTGATTACCGGTAGTTTTAGCATATTAGTCACCTAATTTGCATAATGATTAGTCAATTTTCGGCTTTTCCACTGATATTTCGCGTACTAATTGTCACGTCCCCGGGACAAGGTCTAGTTGTCAAATAGAACCAAGCCCCTGAAACTAACTATGGTACGAGCCCCCACTTCCAGTAATGGAAGAATGACACAATAAAATGTTACAAAATTAGATTTATTGTACTAGTCCAATCAGTAGTGACAGTAATAACAGTGAGCATAGACCAGGGTTGATAAATATTAACATTACAAATAATACCTAGTAGTTTAATATGACAGGTGGACGTTTTCAATAATAATAATCACTATAAAAATATATTCAACTATGAGCATGTCTCTAAATCAGTGCCAGTTCGTTGGGTTAACAATTCGGCTAGAGTCTGCGGTCTTGACGATGTGTATTGTACTCACAGTTCGACGAGAAACGAAGTTTTCATTAGCAAATAATAAGTCTCTTCCGAATTCTTGAATTCGCTCGTCAGCCGGTCATAAGACTCCACAAAGAAGAACACAACCACGTTATCTCAACAGCAAAACGGATCCGGCGTACAGCAAGGGCAGCAACCACGTGCGAGAACTCCTTTCAAGCTCTGCAATTCTCTGTTTTACGTAGTCAAATCGGACCCCTCAGGTCGATCATGGTTCAGACCCTTGCACGACGTATCTACTTCCTAGCTTGGAGGTAATTTATACGTCATACGTAACGCAGTTCCCAACTTGTAACTTGGCAGCTATTCAAAACTTGCACAATATATATGCTCAACCAAATTTCAATGTATTTTAACTTAAATATTTCCATACTCAATTGATAGAACACAAAAATGGCAAATCACCACGCCCTCATCTGGCGAGCATTCAACCTTTTGTCCACAAGCCATATTAATTTAATACAAACACTACGAAATCAATCCCTACAAGTCTCGTGAAATTACAGGTACGTAACACTAATCTTCATATTTCAATGAAACTTAGTACACAGATGTCACAGGACAATGCACAGACCTGATAGGTTAATATCCATGCATATTAGTTTGCATAATTAATCAATTTTCAGCTTTTGATATTTCAAATACTAATCATTACTTTTCAATGAAACTTGGTACATAGATTCTCTAGGAGTATGCAGAGACTTGATTTGTTTTTGGTAAATATTTGTTCATATTAATCAATGTACAGACCTGATTAGTTTGGGGTAATTCCGTAATTAGCATAATTATAGATATTTGGTTGGTTCACATTTCAATGAAACTTGGTACATACATGGTCTGTAACATTTTGCAGACCTTAGTAGTTTTACACTCAAATCTGTGTGTCTAATAATTAACTGATTTGCATAATTAGCCAGTTTCCAGCTTTTCCATCAATATCTCAAGTACAAGTAATTTTAAATGTGTCTCCAATACTCAGCACACAGAAGTTCTTTCTAAGTTTTCTTTGGTTATCTGTCATCACTTAGTGTATTCCATGAGAACTTAAACCACTTATCCATATGGCCTAAACATTAAAGAAAATGTTAGATGAAGTATGCCCTCTTCTCTTTACTTCACTTCTCTTATTTTTATTGCATAAACAAGAGTAGCCATCTCTTCTTTTTTGAGTTGAGAAACGTTGTGCTGTTTTTTTAATAGTAATTTTTAGCTTGGAATTTTATTATTTTTATCAGCTACGGCTACTATTTTATTTATCTTGTTTTCA